TCTGTATTCAATATCATAATTATACTAGTCTATCTTTCCGATCCAATGTGCCAGTTGTCCCTCTGGGTTCTTTAATGATCTTAACCAGTGTAACGCAGCATGGTCTGTCCTAATGGTAAACCTTGCACCATAGAGGTAAGGATGGAAATATGTCAGACTCTTTACTATAACAAGAAGTTCCCTCCGTGTTACACAGTAGTTCCTCTCTGGTCTACTCAAAACCCTACTGAAGTAGGCCACCACATGTTCGTTTTCGCCCACTTTCTGAGACAACACTCCTCCAATTCCGACATTACTAGCATCACAATCCAGTATGTACGGCAGTGAGGGATCTGGAAGCTTTAAAAGTGGAGCAGAGGCCAATTTTTCCTTTTTTTCCTTCAACGTCTTGAAAGTATGCTGGCAAGAAACTGTCCATTCAAACTTTTGGCCTTTTTTAGTCAAATCATGTAGTGGAGCAGCTATGGTTGCAAAGTCCTTCACAAACTTGCGGTAGTAAGTACAGAGTCCCAAGAAACTTCTTAGCTCTCTCCCACATTGTCTGGTGTTGGCCAGTCATGCACTGCTTTCACCTTATCAGGATCAGTTTGTACACCATTCTCACTAACAATGTGGCCTAAGTAAAGCACCTCTTTCTGGAACAAATGACATTTCTTGGGATGGAGTTTGAGCTTTGCTACTTTCAAATGCTTGAATACTTCCTCCAGCCGGGACATTTCCTCGCCAAAAGTTATTGCAAATACGATGACATCGTTCAGGTACACTAGGGCTATCCTCCATTGTAGGCCTTCCAATACTCGTTCCATCAGCCTCTCAAATGTTGCTGGATCATTACTGAGCCCAAATGGCATCACTCGGTATTGCCAGAGACCTTGACCATAACTAAATGCTGTCTTGGGTCTATCTGTTTCAGCCATTTTTACTTGATGGAAACCTGACTTTAAGTCTAGAGTTTTAAACCATCTGGCACCACTTAGGGCATCAAGAGTATCATCAATTCTTGGCAGTGGGTATGAATTTTATTCGGTTATGCTGTTAAGAGCCCTGAAGTACACACAGCAACGTTGGGTCCCATCCTTCTTTTGGACTAATACAACGGGAGCTGACCAAGGACTATCTGAGTTTTCAACTATCCCTTCCTTGATTAGACCATCCATGACCTTCTCTATCTCTTGTCGCTTTGCTGGAGCTATTATCCTTGGAGGAATCTTTATTGGACGGTGATTGCCTGTATTTATTCTGTGCTCTTCAAGGTTTGTGCAGCCGAGGTCATGATCTTTCGAAAAGACGTGAGCATAATTTGCCAAAAGGTATTTTACCTGAAGAGCCTGTGATGATGACAAATGGACTATGCTCTTCTTATAAAGGTCAGTCAAATGTTCTGGAAGTGTATGCTTTTTCTTTACCATTGTATTCCTTGCTTTAACATTGACTGGCTCTACCTCCTGGCACACACCCAACAATGCCCCTTATTTAAGTGTCTGCTCACATTTAGAGAAATTGGCCACTGTTATAGGTATTACTTGATGACC